ATCTCTCCTGATGGGGAATCTCTGGGGAACCCTGGGACTCTGGGCAGCCTGTCCCTTGAGGGCCAGATGAAACTCCCCACAAACACTAGTCTTGGCTTCACAATATCTGGGTATTTGGAGGGAGCATGCCTGCGCATATCTGCTCTGACCCTGTCTGTCCCACCCATAGCAGGAGTTTACACTCTCCTGGTAAAACTCCTTATACTCTCTCCTGGCAAACTGCTTCCCCTCAAACCTGGGGGCCAGCAGAGGTCAAAGCCCTGCTAAGCTACAGACTCCAGGAACAGCCTCCTTGGGCTTGTTGGAAAATCGATAGCTAGAAGACCCGCCGGGAGATTGCCAGTGTAATGGAGTCCCCATGGGGTCTGCACTGTAGCTGCATTTCAACTGAGCGCAGGACCCTGCTCACAGCTGGCTCTGGAAAGCGAGGCCCAACAAATGCTCATTCAACAACTGATTGACTTGACAGGCTACCCAGCCTCAGGATCTAGTCCCCTGGAATGTTGTGTCTGAATTTATTTTCTGCTAAAGGGGCCTGAAGAAGCAGTTTTGGCTTTCTGTTTGCTTGTAAGGTCTCATTTCCCCTATTGAGATTTGAGGACGCCCTGAGGCTTGGTGGCCCCTTCGTTTTTGCCCCTTTGTTCCCTATCTCCATGCCCTGAGTTTTAGCAGTGAAAGGTTTGTTTACTGCCCAGCTGTTTAATACAGCATAGCACCTACCAGCCCTGCAGCCTAAGGTGGATGTGGGTCTCACAGCGGGCATTTGGGTCTCTACCGCTGCTTTTCACACTGCACAGGCTTTTTTTTGAAAATTGCGTCTGTTTGCAGTAACCTCCCCTTAGCAAAACACTACGTCTGAAAAGCAGAGTGAGGACTCTTGGGCATTGAACCAGCCTCCTAGTTCAGAGCAGCAAGAGCGTGCCGGACTGTGATCACCGCCTGTTGCTACTGGCAGCAATTCCTCATTTTCTGGGTTCTGCCTTTGTTTTGTTCCCAGACTTACTGTGCTCTCTTTAGTAACTGATGTTCAGGAAATGGTTCTGAGTGTGTATGTGTGTGCTCACGCTGGACTGCATGCATCATCACGCCGAGTTCTTGAGGAGAAACGGGATAGGAAATATCCTGGTTTTTAAATACAGAGATTTTGTGCTTAACCCTGCAGTCATGCGGGGATATCCTGATGCTTCATGTGGCCTGATTTTGCCACCAAGCTGGAGAGAGTGTGACCTCAAGGGGATGTGGGCTTAGATCTGGTGGAGGTCAGGGTGGTTTTTCACAGAATGAGGACTGGGACTCAGGTTGTATACCCTAGCTCCCACAAGTGCCTGTGGTTTTTATTCTTTTTTTTGGTTTGGAACCATGTGAAATTGTTAATAGTAGACCATTTTTTGATGTACAAAAATGTCAGTTTCATATGGCTCAACTTAAGATCTAAAATTTGTTTAATAAAGAAAATATTGGGTGCGCCTGTGGCTCAAAGGAGTAGGGCGCTGGCCCCATATACTGGAGGTGGCCGGTTCAAACCTGGCCCCGGTCAAAAACTGCAAAAAACAGCAACAACAAAGAAAATATCAACACTTAATCTATATGTTTAAGCATACACCTTTACAGAAATCATGGTAGGTTTTCTTTCTTTCTTTCTTTTTTTTTTTT